TGTCAATAGTGACAGGAATCGAGACCTTTGGAATATCAACCTATATTTCAAGTTTCGTCAGAATCGGATGAAAATTGTGACCTGTAGAGTGCCAACAAAAAAGTTTTGAACGGACGTTCAGACGACAATATACATCCACATGAAAATGTGGGCGTATACAAATAAATTGATGATCATTGGCGATGTACGAAAATATAACAATAGTTAAATCCAAATTGCAAAAGAACCCAATCAATATTTGAATCAAAATGTTACAGTAAGTGAACACCTGCTAACAGGTCTTGGACACACCATTACATAGACGAAGTGAGTTGATGGACTTTTAGTAAGGATATCGGTTTAAACTACAAGATGAAACAACCCCAAATGTTATAATCTAGAGAAATGAATAAGACTGCCTATATATCATCGCCTAATGTTTGAGCTTTAATGGATCTTTTCCTGTTCTGTATCATAAGCCCATAGCCTAATATGGACTGCCAACTGGACACAGATCACCAAATATTCCTACGCCGTCACCCACGAAACAAGGGCCAAAGCTATTTTTAGTCTTCCTCTCCCTTTTCCTTTTTCCCCCTTTTGCATGGCGATTTCTGTTGACTTTTTGGTGTAGAATTGAGGAAAAGGGTTTGAAAATACATTTTCTGCCAGGTTTTGGTGAATATTCATAATTTTGATGCGGAAGGATACAAGAGTTGAGAGGTTGGTTACGTTGAAATGTAGGGCCTGAAATTGCATGTTTACTTGTCTCTACTTCCAGCTTGTGTATCTCAAGTTTTTCATGAAGAACCTCATACGTGCTTTTGGGCAAGTGGTTGCCACATGTTGCTCCATCTGTGGTAGAAAGCGTTCTACCCAACGAAAATTTGGGAAAAAGTTAGAGCCGGTCTAAGATACGAGAATTAACATTGGAGTCAATGGGAAATCTTTAGTGATCTGTGTCCTGTCTGTGTGTGATAAGGCTGTCACTGATATGCCTTAGTTTTGAAAATATGAAGATTAAATTCTCAGAAAATATGAATAAAATAGTTTGGCTACAGAAAAACTAAAAGAAGTTAATTAAAACAAAAAAATCAAAGTTCTGAAGAAAAATTGTGATTTTACTGCAAATTTCTCAATTTTCAATTTTTATTGAATTTTTAACAGTAAGTAAAATATTCTAATGCCCAATGTTGGCTTATTCAGTCTCAGAAAGCACAGATAAAATGAACAGTATTGAAATTTCACCAAATTTTGTCTAAAAATCAGGAATATTCACAAAAAATCTTGAGATTCCCCCCATTTGGATGTAGAAATTAATATTTTCATGACTACTAAAATGAGTCAAAATGTCTAAAAATGCCCATATTTTCTTTGCTAATATAACTTAGATGGGATCTACATGTTTGTCAGGTTTAGAAATAGCTCCAGCTTTCCTACAGAAAATTGAAAATTGGTAACACTGAGTTAATAATGTACAGCAGATGGGTTTGTACAAAATGTTCAAAACAGGGGTTGGCTCAATTTTGCCACTATTTGACCCAGAATAAGCATTTTTTTCTTCTTTGAAACATTAAATTCTTGCATTTCCTTCATGTAGGAAGCAATATCCCAGCCTTTCTAGACATTTTTTACTCCATCATTCTGTTTAGAGAGGCAATAAATGCCCCACCCCACCCTTTTCTATTAATGTGTTTTGAGGGATTTAAATGCACCTGTGTTGACATGTAAATGATCTTAATTGGAATTTGTGGTTGAATTACAGCTAAGAATGTTATTTTTCACCCAAAAATATTTTTTTTGTGCATTTCAAGGATTTCTAACCCTTATTTGTTCAGAGTCAAACGTAGAACCCTGAGGCATTTCAGGCCAATGAGACCAGACCCAGATATAAAACTGGTGTAGATGTGTAAATGTCAGTTTAATGTTCAATATTTTCTTATCAAAATCCAGCATTTGTGGTGTTTGCTGCATTTATGTTGCCTATAAAACAATAAAATGTTAATTTTTCTCCTTTTCAGGCCTCTTTTTATGTTGTCAAGTCTGTCATGACTACTTTTTTGACTTCATTTTTTCAGGAAATTAATGTAAAGTTCCAGACATCTTGCTTCAGCACAAGGATTGCAATACAAATTTGTAACATGCCTCTGAGGTTTGAGATGTTGGAAACATTGAAATATTCCCAAATTTGTGAAAATTGTGTATTCTGTGACCCTTCTGTTAGAGAGGGGTGATCATAGACCTAATATGGCATTTTTTTCATTCATCAAGGCCTATTTTTAACCATAATTCATATTTATTGCACCTATTTTAGTTTATATGTGCATATGTTAGCCAGGGATGGTAAAACATAGCTGTTAGACAGATTCCTTTGGTAATGTAAGTTCTGCAACCATAGATTAGATTAATTCAATCAGTGGCATGTTCAGGGGGTAGGCATACATGTTTCAGTATAGATCTCTAATATTACAATCATTGCAACTGGTTTGCATTTTTTCTGTTTGCATATTGTCCACAGATTCTAAAAATATATTTCTTGTCCGTCCGGATATTTAAAAAAGTGGAAAATTATTGGTATTTTGAGAGATGCTACATGTAAATTTTGTACATTTTTCATCACATGGCAGTAAAAAATTATATTTTTGAAAAAAATTCCAAATTATGAGTGTTTTGTATGTAGTTTCTTTGTTACTTCTCTAATTTTTTCACAGAACTCAGATACTGCCTTTAATAAGAAAGATTTTTAAATTTTAGCACAAAAGGCCTATGGACCTGAGATGCACCAGTGTACATAAAGCAGCATGTGTACTTAAAGGGCCATCATTTTTACAGTTATTCTTTGATTTTGATTTTCTTTCACCGGCATGTTGCCAGAACACATGGGAAGGAAATAAAAAAGGCCTTTTGGTGATCCCTGAAGTTTCACCCCTATATAGGACACAGATCACCAAATATTCCTACGCCGTCACCCACGAAACAAGGGCCAAAGCTATTTTTAGTCTTCCTCTCCCTTTTCCTTTTTCCCCCTTTTGCATGGCGATTTTTGTTGACTTTTTGGTGTAGAATTGAGGAAAAGGGTTTGAAAATACATTTTCTGCCAGGTTTTGGTGAATATTCATAATTTTGATGCGGAAGGATACAAGAGTTGAGAGGTTGGTTACGTTGAAATGTAGGGCCTGAAATTGCATGTTTACTTGTCTCTACTTCCAGCTTGTGTATCTCAAGTTTTTCATGAAGAACCTCATACGTGCTTTTGGGCAAGTGGTTGCCACATGTTGCTCCATCTGTGGTAGAAAGCGTTCTACCCAACGAAAATTTGGGAAAAAGTTAGAGCCGGTCTAAGATACGAGAATTAACATTGGAGTCAATGGGAAATCTTTAGTGATCTGTGTCCAACTACCAGTCATCAGAGATAACTGGGTGGCCAACCACAAGTCATCAAAGATAACTGGCCTCGTCGAGGACCAATGAATGGGGTGTGCACACCAGAAAAACGCATAGAAGCGAGACAGAAGTCTCTAGTATATATCATAGATTTAAATCAACCACAATCCTGTTAGATTAACAATGTCATAAACCTTGAGTTCAGCTCTGTAATTGTTGATCATAGTTCCCAAAGAACAGAAGTTCCAAATAGGTATGGATGTGTTTGTGTTCTTGTTCTAAGAAGTAATGGTTAAGTCTGCAGCCTACAACCAATTCTAATCTCCAGATAATAACAGAAATTGTATGTGGATTAGAGAAGAAACTGTTTATGTATGAGGACTAGCTGTCTCAGCATTTCATCCTTGTGAAAACTACCAGAATTCTGTTCTCCAAACAATAACACAAAGAACCTGTCTCCAGAATATAACAGAACCTGCTAGTAGCCAGAAGAAAACAATATCATATATGTGGAATACGGAAATTAATGTTGGTGTTGTGTTTTTTCTCCTGATAGAGATAAACATCTGTTTATATAGGTTTATATTGAAGTTATGACATGTTAATCTATCTAGCCTAGACATAACAAGTAGACTCATTCCTCAAGTAGCTATACACCAAATTCCCACTAAAAGTCAATGTTTCCAAGGACTCCTATTTTAAAATGTGTTTTGAACTTGTCAACAGAATGTATTTTACTGTACCTATTAGACGGACCCATGAAGAATTTAGAAAAAATATATAGTTCATACATTAACCTGATATTCTTTGGGGACTAGAAATTTTTATCCGCTTGCTCAAGTATGATAAATTCAGCTTATATAGATTAAACATTTAGATTTAAGAAATAAATGTGGTATAAGGTCCATACGGAAAAATTCTATTTGGAGACTAACGCATTGTTATGTACAAACCCAGGATTTAATAGAACCTGGTGGGACAAGTTGATTTGCTTTTCAAAATTTCAGTCTATTTGTTGAAATAACAAGTAGTTGCCATGCAAGATACGCCCATATTTTGCAAGACACAGACAGAACAATTTAGGAAAAAAAAAAGATTTTTTGTACAATCAGGGGCCATAAACCAAATAGTTATGATCTGATGCGCAAATATCAAGATCATTGGGATATAAACTAAGTTTCATCAAAATTGGCCAAAAATTGTGACCCCTAGAGCGCCCACAACCTTGGTACTACCCACTTTTAAACTGTTTGCATACTAGGAGCGGTCAATTGTTACGCAGTTTTGATTTAAGTTTCACGAAATTCAAACTCTACCATCATTACGATAAAAATTGTGACCTCAAGAGGGTTCAAAAGCTAAAAACGTAATTTTTCGTACTATCAGGGGCCATAAACTATGAAGTTGCGGTCCAATACATGCCAATATCGAGATAACCTATGGTAATATGCACTGTTACTAATCATAATAACACATCCGGTCAATACAATTCATTTTTTTTATTTAGACCAAATCAAAATGTTCCATTCCTTAACACCGATTGTATTTGAACAACTGCAGGATGCAATGGTCTGGAATTTAATTTGATTCAATTAAAGATACATTAGTTAAGAGTTTAACTTACTGAACCTCCAAGGAACTAGAACTAAATATAATTGAAATGGATTGTTCAGTTGATATCCCTTGAAATGAGTGTCCATACCATACTGCCTTGCTTGCATCCTCTTCCATCTGTGTCCACCATTCTGCCTTGCCTGCATCCTCTTCCATCTGTGTCCACCATTATGTCTTGCCTGCATCCTCTTCCATCTGTGTCCACCATTCTGCATCCGCCAACCTGGTTCCTGAAAAACGCACTTAGGTGACCGAAAGCAATTAGTACATGTGCAATGACAAACAAAAAAAGCCAAATTAACTTAATCCCTACTGAACTAAATGGAACTGAACTGGACTGTTCAGCTAGTCTTATACCAGTATTGAGAGCAACTCAGTCTGCAGCCTGCCACTACCCTCAAGAAAATCAAATGAAAAACTAGACTCTCCTTTTATTCCACATCATTCAAACAGATGACCACCATACTGCCTTGCATGCACCCTCTCCCATCTGTGTCCGCCTTCTACCTTACCTGAATCCTCTTCCATCTATGTCCACCATTCTGTCTTGCCTGCATCCTCTTCCATCTGTGTCCACCATTCTGCATCCACCAACCTGGTTCCTGAAAAATGCACTGAGGTGACCGAAAGCAATTAGTACATGTGCAATGACAAACAAAAAAAGCCAAATTAACTTAATCCCTACTGAACTAAATGGAACTGAACTGGACTGTTCAGCTAGTCTTATCCCCAAGTATTGAGAGCAACTCTGTCTGCAGCCTGCCACTACCCTCAAAATAATTAATCAAAAAAACTGTACTCTCCTTTTATTCCAAATCGTTTAAACAGATCACCACCATACTGCCTTACCTGCATCCTCTTCCATCTGTGTCCTCCATTCTGCATCCACCAACCTGGTTCCTGAAAAAACAAACTGAGGTGTCCGAAAGCAATTAGTACATATGCAATGAAAAACAAAAACAAAGAAATCTTCAATGAATTTAAAGCCAAATTAACTTAACTCCCTAGCGAGAGAGAGAGAGACAGACAGACAGAGAGAGGAGGGGGTTAATGTCCACTGGACACAAACCAGGTCATTTCGGGACTAATACATGTTTCAATTTTATTTCAATTGAACTAAATGAACCTTAACTGGACTGTTCAGCTGGTCTTTTTCCTCAAAATTGAGAGCCGCCCTGTCACCACCCTCAAGACAAAATCAAGCAAAAAAACTGTACTCTCCTTTTCAGCCAAATAGAATGAACAGATCACCTACGGTTCTGCTCCTAACCTGAGCTAATGAAGACGGACATACGCCATACAGTGTGCTATGCGGGAAATTTTGCCCGGACAGCAGCACTACAACCTACTCTTTTTTCGAATTCCAACTGTCAAGGGGTCTTTTACGTGCATGCCAATGTGCACACGGGACCTCAGTTTTCCGTCCCATCCAAACAACTAGACAGCTGTCCTTGTCAGGCCCTCCGTCCTGCATCACTTACATAGGGGAACCACACCGGAAAATCTGGATGGACTTTCTCAGCCAATGCAGGGATCGAACACCCGATCTCCAGGCTAGCGAGCCTGCGTCTTATCCATCGTGATCCCCCGTCACTGGCCTGAACATGGATTTCAGAAGCTTATGTCGTTGGCTTGTTCAGCTTCCGTTCCAAGTCTTATCCACCGTGATCCCCCGTCACTGGCCTGAACCTGGATTTCAGAAGCTTAAGTCGTTGGCATGTTCAGCTTCGATCCGTTCCAAGTAAAGTAAAATAGAAAATTTAGAACTTTGACATGTAACACGACGGAATGGCGGCCATGATTCACATAAGCCACCAACCATCCCATATTAATACCTCGAAAATTTCAGAATAATTTTGACCCCATTTAGTTTCCCCATAAAGGTTTGCTCCAAATTTAGGAAAAAGAAAATTTAGATGAGTTTGGCCTATAGTATGACTGACCGACGGGCATGAATCATCTAATCCACCCACCATCAAATCATATTGTGTCGAAAATTTTGAAATGCGTTTCTCGGTATTCAGTTTCCCATAGAGGTTTGTTCCATGTTTAATAAAATAGAAAATTTAGAAGTTTGACCTGTAGCATGACAGACCAACACACATTTTTTGTTTATTCCATCCACACCATCACATCTTGTTGGTACGTCGAAAATTTCGAAATAATTTTGACCCCATTTAAATTGTTCCAAGTTTAGGAAAATGAAAATTGATAAGATTGGCCTAAAGTATGACAGACGACGGGCATGAATCATCTAATCAACCCACCATTAAATCATATTGTGTCAAAAATTTCGAAATACGTTTGACGTCATTCAGTTTCCCATAAAGGTTTGTTCCAAGTATAATAAAATAGAAAATTTTGGAGTTTGGTCTGTAGCATGATCGGCCGACGGCATGAATCATCTAATCCACCATCATCACATCATGTTGGTATGTCAAATTTCTAAATAATTTTGACACTATTCAAATTTTCATAAAGGTCAATGTTCCAAGATTAGGAAATTTGAAAATTCAAAAGTTTAACCTATAGCATGACACATTGACATGCATGATAAATCGGCGTATAAAAAAAACCCTAAATAATGTTTAATATGGGCGTGCTGAAAACAATTTAAGGAGGAGAGATCAATTAGTACATGTGCAGTGATAAAAATATCTTCCAAGAATGCCAAATTTACTTAATCCCCACTGAACTAGAACTAAATGCAACTGAACTGGACGGATAATCGTCACTGGCCTGAACATGGATTTCAAAAGCTTAAGTCATTGGCTAGTTCAGCTTTCGTTTCAAGTTGAATAAAATAGAAAATTTAGAAGTTTGACATATAACAAGGCGGAATGGCGGCCATGATTCCACTAAGCCACCTACCATCCCATATAAGTAGGTCGAAAATTTCGAAATATGTTTGAACCCATTCAGTCTCATAAAGGTTTGTTCCAAATTTAGGAAAAAGAAAATTTAGAAGAGTTTGGCCTATAATATGACGGACCGACGGGCATGAATCATCTAATCCACCCACCATCAAATCATGTTGTGTCAAAAATTTCGGAATACGTTTGACGCCATTCAGTTTCCCATAAAAGTTTGTTCCAAGTTTAATAAAATAGAAAATTTAGAAGTTTGGTCTGTAGCATGACAGACCGACAGACATGTTTCATTTATTCCACCCAACATCACATCTTGTTGGTATGTCGGAAATTTCGAACTAATTTTGACCCCATTCAAATTCCCATTACGCTTTATATTCAAAATATTAGAAGTTTGACCTGTAACATGTCGACGGAACAACGGGTATGATTCATCTAAGCCACCCACTCACCACATCATGCTGGTATGTCAAATTTCAAAATAATTTAGCCCCATTCATATTCCCAAAAAGGTTTATGTTCCAAGTTTAGTAAAATAGAAAATTTTGGAGTCTGGTCTCTAGCATGACCGACCGATGGCATGAACATCTAATCCACCATCACATCATGTTGGTATGTCAAATTTCTAAATAATATTGACTCTTTAAATTTCCATAAATGTTAATGTTCCAAGACTAGGAAATTGAAAAATTTAAAAGTTTATCCTGTAGAATGATGGACTGACGGGCATGACATATCGGCGTATAATGTTTAATGTGGGCATGCTGAAAAACAATCTAATAGTAAGTGTAAGGGGACTGCACCACACATAATTTAATTTAAGGGGGAGAGAGCAATTAGTACATGTGCAATGATAAAAACATCTTCCAAGGATGCCAAATTTACTTAATCCCCACTGAACTACAACTAAATGCAACTGAACTGGACGGATAATCGTCACTGGCCTGAACATGGATTTCAGAAGCTTATTGGCTTGTTCAGCTTTTGTTTCAAGTTGAATAAAATAGAAAATTTAGAAGTTTGACATGTAACATGGCGGAATGACAGCCATGATTCGACTAAGCCACCCACCATCCCATATAAGTACATCGAAAATTTCAGAAAAATTTTGACCCCATTCAGTTTCCCATAAAGGTTTGTTCCAAATTTAGGAAAAATACAATTTTAGACGAGTTTGGCCTATAATATGACGGACCGACGGGCATGAATCATGTAATCAACCCACCATCAAATCATGTTGTGTCGAAAATTTCGGAATACGTTTGACCCCATTCAGTTTCCCATAAAGGTTTGTTCCAAGATTAATAAAATAGAAAATTTAGAAGTTTGACCTGTAGCATGACAGATCGACGGACATGTTTTATTTATTCCACCCACCATCACATCTTGTTGGTATGTCGAAAATTTAAAATAATTTTGACCCCATTCGAATTCCCATTACGGTTTATGTTCACAAATTTAGAAGTTCGACCTGTAACATGACGACAGAACATTGGGCATGATTCATCTAAGCCACCCACCATCACATCATGCTGGTATGTCGAAAATTTCGAAATAATTTTGCCCCATTCAAATTCCCATAAAGGTTTATGTTCAAAATTTAGTAAAATAGAAAATTTTGGAGTTTGGTCTGTAGCATGACTGACCGACGGCATGAATGATCTAATCCATCATCATCACATCATGTTGGTATGTCAAATTTCTAAATAATTTTGACTCTATTCAAATTTCCATAAAGGTTAATGTTCCAAGATAAAGAAATTGCAAAATTTAGCCTGTAGCATGATGGACTGACGGGCATGATATATCGTCGTATAAAAAAACCTAAATAATGTTTAAAGATACATTATGTAAGATTTTGATAAAGAACTAGCCATTCTTGCTATAATAATTCGAAAAAAGATAATCTAAAATGAATAATTTGAGATTTCATTTAATTTACTCTATTGCAATCGAAGATATTAGCCTTTGAAGGTTTGACAAGACGTGTTCAATAATTTCCTCCATTTTTAGCTTAAATCAAAATATGGCTTAACTGTTCTAATCTATTTAATATCAGAGAAATCCGATGCCATCGAGAGTCGATTAAGGCCTGGATAAGTTAATTGATGTCTAATTAACAATTTAGAAAACATTTCAGGCCTAAAGAAAGACCTGCATTAGGCAGATTTAGCTCTTGCATAATGTATCTTTAATGTGGGCGTGCTGAAAAACAATCTAAGGGGGAGAGGGCAATTAGTTCATGTGCAATGATAAAAACAACTTCCAAGAAAGCCAAATTTACTGAATCCCCACTGAACTGAACTGTTCAGCTGATATTTCCCAAATTGAGAGCCGACCAGGCTGCAGCCGGCCACTGCCCTCAAGACAAAATCAAACAGAAAAACTGTACTCTACTGTGCAATGAAAAACAAAACAAAATAATCTTCAATGAATTTAAAGTCAAATTACCTTAATTCCCCACTGAACTAAATGGAACTGAACTGCCTTGCCTTGCCTGCATCCTCTTCCATCTGTGTCCACCATTCTGCCTTGCCATGTCTGCATCCTCTTCCATGTGTGTCCACCATTCTACATTCACCAACCTGGGTCCTGAAAAACAAACTTAGGTGGCCGAAAGCAATTAGTACATGTGCAATGGCAAACAAAAATATCTTCAATGAATTGAAAGCCAAATTAACTTCATCCCCACTGAACGGAACTGGACTGTTCAGCTGGTTTAATTATCCCCCGAATTGAGGGTTGCCAGGCTACAGGCCGACACCATGCTCAAGAAATTGTAAGTGTACAAGTACATATCGCTTTACAAAATCATGCATATAATATAAATAACCAATTAACAGTAGACATCTGTAGACAACTTCATTAGAAAAATACTATTTTGGCAATAAAAAGATTATAAAAAATGAATTGATCACCGTTGGCGATATACAGAGATATAACACAGTAGTTAATTCCAAATTGCAAAAAAAAACCATCAATATCTGAATCAAAAAGTTACAGTAAAGAAACACGTGCTAACAGGTCTAGGACACACATTTATTGACATAAAGTGATTTGATAGACTTTTAGTGAAGACATCGGTTTAAACTACATGATGAAACAACCCCAAATGTTATGGTTTAGAGAAATGAAGCAGACTGCTTATATATTATCGCCTAATGTGTGGATCTTCTGTTCTGTATCATAAGCCCATAGCCTAACATGGATTGCCAACTACCAGTCATCAGAGATAACTGGGAAGCCAACCACAAGTCATCAAAGATAACTGGCCTCGTCGAGGACAAATGAATGAGGTGTGCACACCAGAAAACTCAATAGAAGCGAGACAGAAGTCTCTAGTATATCTCAGATGTAAATCAGCCACAATCCTGTTAGATTAACAATGTCATAAAACTTGAGTTAACCTCTGTAATTGTTGATCACAGTTCCCAAAGAACAGAAGTTCCAAAAAGGTATGGATGTGTTTGTGTAATTGTTCTAAGAAGTAATGGTTAAGTCTGCAGTCTACAACCATTACAACCAATTCTAATCTCCAGATAACATAGAAACTGTCTAGCTAGAAGCCAGCAGAATACAAGAAATCCGGAATCTTTGTTTATGTTGTGTATGTGGATTAAAGAAGAAATTGTTTCTGTATGAGGACTAGCTGTCTCAGCCTTTCATCCATGAGAAACCTACAAGATTTCTGATCCCCAAACAATAACACAAAAAACCTGTCTCCAGAATATAACAGAACCTACTAGTAGCCAGAAGAAAACAATATCATATATGTGGAATACGGAAATTAATGTTGGTGTTGTGTTTTTTCTCCTGATAGAGATAAACATCTGTTTATATAGGTTTTATTGAAGTTATGACATGTTAATCTATCTAGCCTAGACATAACAAGTAGACTCATTCCTCAAGTAGCTATACACCAAATTCCCACTAAAAGTCAATGTTTCCAAGGACCACTATTTTAAAATGTGTTTTGAACTTGTCAACAGAATGTCCTTTACTGTACCTATTAGACGAACCAATGAAGAATTTAGAAAAAAAATATATAGTTCATACATAAACATATTGTTTGGCGACTAGAAATTTTATCCGTTTGCTCAAGTATGATAAGTTTAGTTTCTTATATAGATTTCACATTTAGATTTAAGAAATAAAAGTGGTATATCTGTTCATTCGAAAAAATTCTATTTGGAGACTAACAAGATTTATTTTTTATTGTTTCGAGAATAACATATGATACGTGTTATTTGAAGCAAGGAAACGCGTTGTTATGTACAAACCCTAGATTTAAAGGAACATGGTGGGACAAGGTGATTTGATTTTCGAAATTTCAGTCTAATTTGTACAATCAGGGGCCATAAACCAGGCAGTTATGATCTGATGCGCAAATATCGAGATCATTGGATATAAACATATTTTAAGTTTCATCAAAATTGGGAGATCACGATGGCTAAGTGGGTAAGGCGCTGGCTCGCTAGCCTGGAGGTCGGGTGTTCGATCCCTGCATTGGCCGAGAAAGTTCATCCAGATTTTCCGGCTTGGTTTCCCCTTGTCAGTGATGCAGGACGGAGGGCCTGACAAGAACAGCTGTCTAGTCATTTGGATGAGACAAAAAAACGAGGTCCCGTGTACACATTGCCGTGCACGTAAAAGATCCCTTGACAGTCGGAATTCAATATAAGAGTAGGCCGTAGTGCCACTGTCCGGGCAAAATTTCCCTCACAGCACACTGTATGGCGTATGCCTGTCTTCATTAGCCCAGTTCGGAGCAAAACAGTAGGACGTTAAACCCCATTTCATTTCATTTCATTTCATCAAAATTGGCCAAAAATTGTGACCTCTAGAGGGTCCACAAACTTGGTATTACCACTTTTAAACTGTTTGCATACAAGGAGCGGTCATTTGTTACGCAGTTTTGATTTAAGTTTCACGAAATCCGAACTCTACCATCATTGCGCTAAAAATTGTGACCTCTAGGGGGTTCAAAAGCTAAAAACGCAATTTTTCATACTATCAGGGGTCATAAACTATGAAGTTACAGTCCAATACATGCCAATATCGAGATAAACCTATATTTCAAGTTTCGTCAAAATCAGATCAAAAAATTTGACCTGTAGCTAGAGCGTCTTCATGAAAATGTGGGCATACAAAAATGTAATAGTAATGTGCACTGTTACTAATCATAATAACACATCCGGTCAATACAATTCATTTTTTTATTTAGACCAAATCAAAATGTACCGTTCCTTTACATAGGCTAATCCTGTTCCCCAATCCCATTCAGACATCCTGAATAAAAATGATTGTTTATAAAAAAAAAACCCAAAAAACCGGTAGTATTTGAACAACTGAAGGATGCAATGATCTTATTGTATAAATATCCATATACAAAGAAAAGATTTTTACACATAGAATTTAATTTGATTCAATTAAATATACATTAGTTAAGAGTTTAATAAAGAGTTGGTCATTCTTGCTATAATAATTCAAAAATAGATGATAAAAAAAGAAAATATTGAAAATTTCATTCAAATTATTTCATTCTCAGCCAAGTTATCATTGTTTGTAGTTTTGACAAGATGTGTGCATAGTGGTAAACAGGGCACTGGTATATTCGAGACTTAGCCTCCCTTTCCCATTTTTAAATTAAATTTTTAAATGGCGAACCGTTTTACGCTAGTTAAAATCTCAAGTATCCGATGCCATCAAGAGTTGATTATGATCTTATTTTGCTAATAAATGTCTAATTAATAGTTAAGATCACATTTCAGGCCTAAAGAAAGACATGAAATAGGCAGATTTAACTCTTACATAATATATGTTTAATTATAAGTTGTACAAACCATCATCTATTTGTTGCGCTTTCTCTTCCACGTAAGCCAAATTTACTGAACCTCCAAGTAACTAGAACTAGATACAATAGAAATGGATTGTTCAGCTGATATCCCTTGAATTGAGTATCCATACCATACTGCCTTGCTTGCATTCTCTTCCATCTGTGTCCACCATTCTGCATCCGCCAACCTGGTTCCTGAAAAACCAACTTAGGTGGCCGAAAACAATTAGTACATGTGCAATGACAAACAAAAATAAGCCAAATTAACTTAATCCCTACTGAACTAAACGGAACTGAACCGGACTGTTCAGCTAGTCTTATCCCCAAGTATTGAGAGCAACTGGGTCTGCAGCCTGCCACTACCCTCAAAAAATCAATAAAAAAAATGTACTCTCCTTTTATTCCAAATCGTTCAAACAGATCACCACCATACTGCCTTGCCTTTTCCATCTGTGTCCACCATTCTGCCTTGCCTGCATCCTCTTCCATCTGTGTCCACCATTCTGCCTTGCCTTTCCTGCATCCTCTTCCATCTGTGTCCACCAACCTGGTTCCTGAAAAACAAACTTAGGTGGCCGAAAACAATTAGTACATGTGCAATGACAAACAGACAAAAATGAATTGAAAACCAAATTAACTTAATCCCTTCTGAACTGTCTGCAGCCAGCCACTACCCTAAAAAAAATTAATCGGAAAAACTGTACTCTCCTTTTATTCCAAATCGTCCAAACAGATTACAATACTGCCTTGCTGTGCCTGCATCCTCTTCCATCTGTGTCCAACATTCTGCATCCACCAACCTGGTTCCTGAAAAACAAACTTAGGTGGCCGAAAGCAATTAGTACATGTGGATGACAAACAAAAATGAATTTGGGTTATACACATACATTTTAAGTTTCATGAAAATCGAACACAAATTTTGACCTCTAGAGAGCCAACAGACTAAAAACGATATTTTTTATACAACCAGACGCCATGATCAACAAACAAATGTGAATGGACGTTCGGACGACTATACACATACACATGAAAATGTGAGCGTATAAAAATAAATTAATGACCGTTGGCGATGTACAAGAGTATAACAATAGTTAAATCCAAATTGCACAAGAAATCCATTAATATTTGAATCAACATGTTACAGTAAAGAAACATCTGCTAACAGTAAAGGACACACCTTAACATAGACAAGTGATTTCATGGACTTTTAGTGAGGATATCGATTAAAACTACCAGATGAAACAACCCCAAATGTTAAGTTCTAGAGAAATGAATCCGACTGCCTATGTGTGTGACTTTTAATGGATCTTCTTCTGTTCTGTATCAGAAGTCCATAGCTTAATATGGACTGCCAACTACCAGTCATCAGAGATAACTGGGTGGCCAACCACAAGTCATCAAAGATAACTGGCCTCGTCGAGGATCAGTGAATGAGGTGTGCACACCAGAAAACCCAATAGAAGCAAGATAGAAGTCCCTGGTATATATCATAGATGTAAATCAGTCACAATCCTGTTAGAATAACATTGTCATAAACCTTGAGTTCTGGTCTCTGTGTTGATCACAGTTCCCAAAGAACAGAAGTTCCAAATAGGTATGGATGTGTTTGTGTAATTCTAATCTCCAGATAATAACATTGAAACTGTCTCGTTATACGCCACATGAATACAAGAAATCTGGAATCTTTGTTTATGATGTGTATGTGGATTAGAGAAGAAATTGATTATGTATGAGGACTAGCTGTCTCATCATTTTGTCCTTGTGAAACCTACAAGATTTCTGTTCTCCAAACAAAGAACCTATCTCCAGAATATAACAGAACCCAGAACTTCTGAAACCTGTTCCACTAGTAGCCAGAAGAAAACAATGTTATATATGTGGACTAGGGAAAATAATGTCAATGTTGTGTTTTCTCCTGATAGAGATAAACATCTTCAGTCTGTTTATAATGTTGATGAAGTTATGACATGTTAATCTATCTAGGCTAG